ATTTGATTGGCTAATAATCACATGTAGATCTACAAATTGATCTACGAAGATAGCCAATCAGACGAATTTCTGTCTATAAATTTTCGGGCATAATTAATTGGGTCCGGAGGCCGGGTTATACGTAATGGTAAAATTTTTTGGACATCACTAACCTACTATTATAGCTACCTTTGACCTTCTAAATGTCTGCAACTATAATGTAATGGCATGCTCTTCCGTAAAACGTGTAGTATCTCTATTACCCTCTGCTGCTGAAATTGTTTCATTAGTTGTTGGTAACGACCCATCCGTTCAACTTGTCGGGAGAAGCCATGAAGATGATTATCCTCCCTTTGTGACTTCCTTACCGATTCTTACTGCACCAAAGTATTGAGACCATGTTTTAAATACAATATAGAAAATTTAGAAATGTGAATTAAGCCACAGCTTATACGCTTTATAATTCCTTTAAATCGGATAAATAGAACTAAATTTACCACGTCCGCCGATGTTGATGCGCAAGTATCCAGGTTTCTCGCTGAAGGAAATAGCCTTTATATCTTGGATACTGTTTTATTGAAAAACTTAAGACCAGATATTGTTATAACGCAGGTCAGATAACTTTTCATTCGAGTTGGCAATCAAATCCCAAACTGTTTATAAAAAATTTAATCAAATAATAATAATAATAATGATGAAGTGTTGCAAATATTATTATTTATAGTTGTAAAAATATATATCTTATCTATTAGAATATAAAGTTTTTGAGTTATGGGTTTGGGATTTGTGCATGAACAAATTACTTTTAGCATAGTTTTGAATTTTACCGGCAAATATGTCATCTAATTCATATTTTTAAATTCCTCTATCAGGATCTATGCAATGTTTGTTCTATTGATCTAGTTACAGTACAGCGCGTTGCAAAGCAAATTGATCCAGGTATAAGAAAAGGGTATTTTCACAAACAATTTGCTAAAACTCATGTTAATTCAATATTATCATTTTCTTTTTACAGAACCTACTATTGTGACGCTAAATCCTTTGTCTATAGAGGTGACGATGAAGATACCTAGTTTTTTAAATCCATTAGGATATTCCAAATATCTTCTTTAATAATATTACTTGATTTTAAATATTAGGACGTTATATCATCAATTTCTGATATTGGAAAAGCATTAGGGATGATTGAGGAATCATCCAAAGCGATATCAATGCTTAGATCACGCATTAATCGTGCACGGGATCTAGCTAACCAAAGTATTGCATCAGGTAGAAAGCGCTCAAAAGTGGCATTTTTTGAATGGACATCGCCTATATACCTTGGTGGTCATTGGACTCCGCAATTGATTCGTTGGAGTAATGTAATTAAATATAATTTAGTTTATAAATTTCTTTGTATTCTACATTTCAGTCGAAATATTTTTTCATGAATTATGGTTTTATTTGCCTCACAGGGTGTACAGGTGGTGGCAGATTGCAAAGATGGCAACACCGCTGAGATGGGTGCGCCACCTTCGTGCGTTGAATATAAATTCGATCTGATCTAAATTTTAACATATGACATATTAAATTTATTATCGAACTTTGGCTGCTTAAAAAGGGTTCGTGTTCCTCCAGAGGACATCATACGTGAAAAACCTGAGATTCTTATAGTCTGTCCGTGCGGGCTTAGTCTTGATGATACTAGAAGAGAGTATGAAGAAACATTGTTGCCTTCAGATTGGTGGTCTCCACTTGCTAAATATGCTTCTAAAATAGCACTAGTGGACGGAAGTCAGGTTTGATCAAAGTTCAGAAAGTTTTTATTTCTCGCATTGTATATAATAAATGTTCTCACCATTTTCAACGATTTTCAATCAGATGTTTAATCGTTCAGGACCTCGTGAGTTTTGACATATAAGGCTTATTTTGTTTAAGATTGTAATTGTATATATAGTCATTTGACCGGCTCATTTCCATCACATTCATATTAAAGGCTTAGTCGACGCACTTGAATGGTTGGTTGGATATATTAACGATATTCCAGAAGTAATTCCTGAAAATTTTCCCTGGAAAAATTTGAAGTCGTAACTTTTTTTTTT